ATAATTCTTCCTTTGTGTTGCTTACAGTAGGTATCCCTGCAAGACCAAAAAGTCCTTTGGATCCCAAGAAGGATGGAGAGTCTATTTCATACTCTGTCTTGCCTTTAAGTGATGGTCCAGAAGGTTCCACAAACAGTCGTCCACAGGTAGCTGTTCAAAAGGAAAGAAAAAAAAATGCTTAACAGTAATTTTGATTTTATTTTTTTTTTCTCTTTTAAGTATGGAATGTAAATATCTTAACTGTTACTTCAGATGTTCATGTTGGTGATGAAATGCCATTCCTGTACTCAAATCCCAGAACTAAACTTTGGTTTAGGCAAGTTTTGTTTTGAAACAAAAACCTCGCATCTTATGCTTCGGTTTGGTTTTGATTTAACTTAAGTAGGAAGAGGGTTCAAATGAATTATCCCAGCTATAATTTTTCTAAACACATATTCCATTTGATGTCCTGTATTTGAGCAGATGATAAGAGGGCGACTTTGCGATGAGACCAAACCTGAAACTTTTAACCAGCTGTGGACTGTAGAGGAACAGGTAACAAGAAACTCTTTAATTTTGTGGCTGTGGCAACATACATGAGCATAAAAGCAAATTGTGTCACAATTTTTATTGCACTTGGGAGATCAGAGTCACTTGTATTAGATATTTGACAACTTATACCTGTACTAGGGAGAATGTATTTATTCCTTTTCACTGTTGATTTAGAAAAAACTCGAGCAGTTGCTTTTGAAGTATCCACCAGAGGAGGTAGAGTCCCGACGGTGGCAGAAGATAGCAGATGAACTGGGAAATAGAACAGCAAAGCAGGTAACGTGTAAAACACTTTGAGAAGTATTCCTTTATCTTCACTTTTTTTTTAATATCAGCAAATTCAATATATTTTCAGTAATCACTTCATCTTAAGAATATAACAGCAGGGTCTACATGTCGCCCATAACAATGTGACTCTTACACTGGATCTCAAATACAGAGTGTTAAATGTGCCCCAAAGCCCATGGCAAAGTTGCCAAACCTAAGGTTCATTAGATTCTGACAGCATGAATTTAATTCTATACAGCAAGTGTAGTGACACCAACTGTGCCGAATTCCCTGCACCTCAGTGCTGTGGAATGGGTAGACATGGAAATAGCACAGACAGAAGAAGGACACAGATGAGGATACACCAAGTATTTCTGCATCTGACTTATTTGAATTTTTCTCCTAAAATGACAGAATTTCTCCATTTTGACCAGAAGTTAAATACTGTGTTTACAGTATTTTAATTTCTTTTATTTCATTTGTATGCTTTCAGATAAAATTATAATTAAGTACTTCATAATACTGGATTACGTCATTTCTGCTCATATCTATATTTCTCTGCATCTGAAAAAATAGACATGCTTACTTATTTCATAATGGAGACCTACTTTCTATGTGCTAGCTATGGATAACGTATCTGGCATTCTTAAGAATGACTTTAGCTGCATCAGGAAGAAAACTACCAAAGTCCTTTCTGTCACAATTTTTGCAAGACCTTCTGCGTATGTTTAAAGAAGGGACTTTTTTTTTCTCTGAAAGCTGTCAAAGCATCTGGAAATAGGACAAATGCAGCACTGCAAGATAGGTACCAGTTAAGAGTAGTTGTCACAAAATAGAATCCAGAGGATTTATTTTGTATTCTGGTATTCTGAACTAATGTAGCAATCCTGGCACATCTTTGAAGACCAGTTACATTTCATTTGACATTGAGTTGTTGCATGTTGGTTTTTTTCTAGGTTGCCAGTAGAGTGCAGAAATATTTTATTAAACTGACTAAAGCTGGTATTCCAGTTCCAGGAAGAACACCAAACTTATATTTATATTCCAAAAAGGTGAGACAAGATTACAGAATCCTGTGTTTCTGTTTGCATTTATGTGCTTGTTGAGTCAGAATCATTAATATATTTAATAGATTAATAAAGTTACTTATTGAAGTAATCTTTTTCTTTTGCCAGTAGCACTATGGAGTGGATTGGACGTTAATTCTGGTTTCACATTGACAGCTCTTGGGGAGTAGAAGTGTTCAGGTTGCAGGTTGAACTGGCAGGATAGAATGATGGTCTTGGGGTAGTTCTTCCTCCATATAAATTTACTAAAACTGATCAGGAAGT